GGGGGGCGGGGCCCGGCGCGAGCGCCGCGCCAAAACACAGCGTGAAACTCCTTGGTTAGAGGTGGGAAAAACCCAAACCCTGAACCCGAGCGCAACAAACCAGCCAACCCCCGAGCCAAAGTCGGCAGTCGATTTTTATTGGATTAAAAAGAAACCCCCAACAAACACGTTAAAAGCTGGGAGTGTCCCAGCAAGCTTAAAAGTTACAATCTGCTGAACATCTAAACCAAACGCACGACGGGCGGTTAAAAGATACATTTAAAACAGCTGTGGCATAAGCCCACTTTTACACAAAAACTTGAAATATAAAAAAGTATTCTTCTTTCTTATGTTACTGCTGCCTTCTAGAATGAAATGAGCACTCAGGCTAGGTAGTCTCATCAGCTACATTGCTGCCCAAACATTTGCTGTGTACCAGGAATTAGATTTCACTTCAAAGAGTTACGTGGCTATTAAGTTTAGATATGTATAAAATCAAATACCATTTCTCCCGACTCACAGAAAACAGACATTTTTTTCAAGCTTTAGAACAATTTCCTTTAAAGATGGATCTTCTGCCCAGTTAACTCCGCTTCCAAATATGATACTCTGTAAGAAAGAAAAAATATTGTTTAAAAAAAAGGCCTTTAAAAAGGATTATTCCTAATAAGTCTCTCTAAAGCTATGTGGTTTTTAATTTGGAAACCCTTGAAATCCACAGCAGTGTTTGAAGTAGGTGGGAAGGGGGGAAAGATGAGAAAGGGAACTATCAGTTTAGAACCTACTGTCAATAGATAGGCCTAAAAACCCCCAGTGATTTGAATCTTTTAGAGGTGCTTCCACAGCATTTTAAACATAGGAATTGAAAGCTTTTTTTTTTTGTTAATTCACGTGAAATAAAGTTTGCCTCAAACTCAAGATAATACAGTACATTCTCACACTGCCATTCTGGACTGAAAATGGAAATTATTTAATTTAACCAAAGATTTGCTTACAGCTCAAAAGATTTCAGGAATACAAAAGCAAAAGATAATGTTTGAAATCTAATCTAAAACCAACTAAAATGTCTAATTTGTTATTTTCAATTTGAGACATAACATTGTCATCAATGCAAATAGTAGACAAAGCACACAAATACAAAAACATATTGTTCTCTTTCTGTCCTTGAAATTCTTCTGATCATCCAAATTCACAGCATGGTTATATCTTGTCTTCTTCCTGAAGTCCTTCAAGATGTTATTTGTTTTCCCAGTCTAAATGTTTTAAATAAACTTTGTACGAGCTTAATGGGGATTTCATAACCTGTTTGCAGAAAAATGCCAGAGCAATGCAATTGCAATTTACTGTTTACTGTGCCTCTCATCTTTGTACTTGAGCCACTGATCTGTGAGGCTGAGGAAAGAAGCCAGGACAAGTCACACAGTGAGAGGCTGAGTACCCACCTGCAGCACAGCATACGTGACTTTTACTAGAGCACCTCGGAGCTCAGGAAGCTACAGGAAGCCCCTCCACTCTATCCCAAATCATGAGGTTTTCCTCCTTGCTTTGCCTGACTTCACACTTCAAATTACCTGCGAGCCAGCTGCATGGACTAGTCAGCAGTATCTGACTTGTGGGTAACCAAAAGGTTGAAGGCTACACCACTGGAAGTATCTGGATACCACCCACTGCTGCAGGCCAAGGCTTTTCACTAGGCAGCAGTGGGCAACACAGAGAAATACACGTGGTCAGGAGGGGCAGACTGAGGAGCAGCAGTCTGGCTCACTGCTACCCATGGGATTGTATCCTACTTGTTTTTTCTAATCACAAGCTGGGGAAATTGATTTGCAGTGTGTAGGGGTGACTCTCAGAGTAAAGGAAACACAGCTGCTGCTGTGACAGGTATGCTCCGAGATAATGCATTGTTTTTGTACTTTTGAAGAAAAAAAAGGAATAAAAAGATAGATTGATAGACTACCTCCAAGCTCTGTAAATAGTAATTCCAAAGAAGTCTGTGACAATTTCATGCTTTTAGCCTTTAAAGCAATAAAATTTTCCTTTCAGACAGCAGTTTTTCCATTACTATTGTTACTTTAAAGTTTTTAGAAAACAGTTTTGTTTGAAGTTACATTTACCATACACTGTGTTATCTGTAATGCAAAACCTCAAACTTGCTTGTAAAAGCTACAACACATCACCTGGAATATGTTTTGAATTACTGTAGTCAGCTGTATCTCCCTTTGTAAGCGTCTACGTTTCTCCTCCATTTTTTTGCTGACTTTCATATTTGCTCGTTTCTCCTCTTGTTCTTCCACCATGGTACGGATCTGCTGTAGCTTCTTCCCTTCCTCTTTTTTTAGTGCTGTTCCATTATTAGGAAAACAAAGTGTTAGGAAGTAGTTAGGTGAGCAGTAGAACCACAGGTAAGATTTTTTTCCTTGGACATCTCAGGCACTACTACTGTGATAACCCTAACTTCACAATCCATACCTTCCCTCCAGCGTATCTCAAGAGATTCCTTTCACACCAGAGGCAACTTTTGCCATGGCTACCTGCCTGTCAAAGTATGCCAGCTGGCTCCCTAGCAGTACAGGAAATACATCATATGCCATCTGCGTCTTCATCAGACATGAACCATCATTTGAACTGCTGTCCTACACCCTGTCTGCAGTTGTCACAACTGTTATAGTCAAAGGTGTTTAAAACCTTTTCTTCATCTTCAAATTTGATCAGAAACCAAATTCTGAAGTTATACAAGGGAGATATGGACAACAGTGAATATTACCAGGGGTTTTTTTGTAGACAACCAGGCTAAACACTAGACTGAATGAAACCATCTAGGGACACCAAAAGAATGACACAGCATTCCTTCCCTTATTTCTGAAGATATTAGGAATTCTCATTTTTCCTATGGAGACAGATATTTAATGGTGTTTGCTCAGTACAGCTGACACCACTTCCTATTCATGAAACAAAAAATAGTTGTTAAAATTTTTTACAAACCTGGTCATATAACACTAGAAGCATTCAAAAAAACGTATTGTGTTCTGAAGACTGACTTTGCATCTAAATTTGATCCACTCTAATAAGCCCATTGAATACAAACATATTATGAGAGTTCTTTGTAAGTAACCCCCCTCCCCTATTCTGCAAGCATTTCATAGGTGTTGTAGGGCTGATTCAAATTACTACTTCTTGATTAGTTTTCTGGGCATCTTACAGTAAATAATAAACCACTACATTTTTTTTGAGCAGCTTGCATCTCTCATACTAACATGTCAGTCTTGTGCTCAAGCAGACAACACACCATTTCATTTTTACAGTTCTTCCTAGTCTTTTCTGAAGTTTTAGAAGTGTGTTGTTCCAAGTTTCACTTACTTCAGATGTAAATTTATATTGCTACAAGAAGAACTTTAAAATATGAACTGTACATTCAAATATAAAACAAAGTCTATATAACTAACATACTTACAGAGTCTTTTCCTTTTAATGTCATTCAATTTCTGTTCCTTCTCACGTATTTGCTGAAAGAAAAAAAAGTGTTTCCTAGACTCTTGGCTCCAAAAAATATTGGAAAATGCCAATTCAACCCACAAAAGCAGTTAAGTGCCGCTGTAGAAGCAGACTTTAAGTAATCATTTCAGTAATTGTAAAAAACATAGAATAGACATCTTACCGTTTCAGCCACATATTTATCTTCATATGAGTTGTGCAATCCTGTTACTTTCATATTGTGCTTCTGCCCATTTCAGTAGACCCACAAAACTGCAGGAGAAGCTGCAACTGCCACTTACCTGTTGACATTCAGCTACTGCCCTGCTGAGCCTTACTGTGTCTTCCATCATTTCCATGATCAGTCTAAGGAAGGAAATGAAGTTATGTACCTTCAGACTATTAATGAGTCAACAACATAAATGCTTTCATCAAGGTTATTTAGATTAAACAAAAAATTCCCATTTCCCCACACCAAATAAAGTTGGTTTTTTTGGTTGTTTTTTTGGTTGTTTGTTCTGGTTTTTTTTACAAACTCTGCATCCTTCCTTTTTTATAGTTATTATACTAAGTATTGTTGTTGGGGCCAAATAGTCTCCATATTTCCTTTTGCTTCCCTAATGTTTCAGTTAAGTCCATTAAAAGTTTCAAATCATAGAGCTTAGAAGGCACCAAGGAAGCCTAGCCTTCCAATTGGTGCTCCTGAATTCTGGTGCATGGCATGGACACCACGGAGGTGCAATATTTTCAGCTGTATTCTGACAGAAATGAAATTTCTTATATTACACTTCATATGCATGTACCTGTTAATATTGGGCATGAAATTAAAAGCTAATTTTAAACATGTTTGAAACTTTCAGTTCTGTTTCAAATACATTAAGCTCCTACACAATTACTTAATGAAGACACCAAAGCAGAGGCAAGGCTCTCTTACAAGCTTGTAATATGTCCTTAGCTATTATAAATGCAGATAACTTATGCATTAAAGACAAAAAAACCTCTAAACTACAAACTCACTCACTTGTGAATCAAAAATTACAATCTCAATAATCAAAGGCTGACTACATTCAGAGCCCAAATGTAAATCCACCTTGGGTGTAAGAGGTCTGATTGTGCTGATTGTAGCTAGGTGGTGGACTGTCTATAAGTCAGTCAAAACTAGAAGAAGGAAACTTGCTTTTAAAAAAGGTACAATGAAGTAATGTAGAAATGTGTCACATTAAACTGTGTAAAGTCCATTTCTTTATAGCTATACTTTCCCCAAGAACACCTTACCGTGAGTCATTATCATTTTCCTTCAATTTGTTTTTCAGGGCAAGTGCAACTTGGATCCTGCACAGTGTGGGGAAGAAACATGTAACTGATGAGAACTGATGCAAAGCAGACAGAAGTAGATTTAGGTAAGTAACAGAAGAGGTATTTTCAAGGTTCCATGTATGTCTGCTTTCACATTGGAATTATATGTATCTAAAATACTCAGCAACTTTTAAATATCACACTTCTTAAATAATGGGGCTTAACTCTCAGGACAAGAAAAGTGTACCAGTGATTATCTGCTAGAGTGAAAACTCCTTTCTCTGTTGCCGAACACACTCAGGACACCATGTAGTTACAGACTCTGCAGAAGAGAAGCTGAGCAAATGTGGGAATTAAAATGAACAACTGTGTAACAGAGAATACATGTCACACCTGCTCACTTCCACCTTTTCATAGGCATTTGCAAAACAGTGCCAAGACAAACATTTACTGATCTACTCAGTCAGACTTGCACAATTTTGCAGGAACCTTAGGGTTTACATATTTGAACGTGACACTTTTTGTTTTTGTTCTCTACTGTATCTTTATCTCCATTCCTACTAGTTCAACAGTACTGAAACCTCTTATGTTTGTAACACACACCATATCACTTTGAAATCCTATTTTGATCAAAATCATGTGTAAGTGGATGCATACATGCACACATAAACAAATGAAAAACTTCCAAATAAACAGGAAGAAAATTCTACCTTTGCAATGCTAATGTCTTGTTCTGGAAAGAGATTCTTTTTGCCTCGACATCTTTTCCCAGAATCTTCTGTGAAGGAAAATCTTGCCAAAATCTTGCCAGGCCTTGCGTAGCACTGAAGGAAAAAACCGCAAACAAATGGTGTGAAGATAACATCAAATTTAAAACAGTATCACATTTTTATCTTTCTTTCTGTGCACCTAAAGTAACAATTTCTCCTGTAAACCGCAAATTAATAAGGCCAGGCTGCATTGGAACGGTATTAGCAAATTCTAGCCATCACAAGGACTGCAAACTTAGAAGCCGCATCAGATACAGAGCTACATCAACAGACTGACTAAAATCTTTCTCCCCCGTACTTTCTCTTAATTTTATTTTCACCAGACTCCTGCAAAGTACTGATCATTAGTCCAGTGAGTCACTAAGAAGGAGTAACCAGAAGAGAGTGTCCAACACTCCAACGGTTCTCAACACACATCTCAACATACATCAAAAGTTTGAAATCATCCAATGACCTATTTCTTCACAAACCTGCCTTCCTCAGTGATGTAAAGGTCAGCTTCTTCACCTGCAAAGAAAGAACATCACTAAAGAGAATGCAACAGAATATTTTTAATACAACCTACAGAGCACAAGGATAAGCAGTTTGATGGCTACAGTAAAAAGGTATTTCTTATTCCTATCTCTACACCTTGTGATCTCTTCCACTGTGAGACTACAGTACCATTCAGCTGTATCAGAGGAATAATTAGCTGTGAAAGATTTCCATTTAGCGCTCCAGACACGCCAGAGGGGGAGCACACTGCTCTGTGTGTGCAGCTCACTGGTTCAGTGGAAGAGGACATGGGTAATGGAAACAAGAAGCAGCATCAAACACTCTGGCAGCCTTCTGGTTAAGACGTTAGGCCCAGCAATCAGATTCCTTAAACCTGCCATAATACGTCAGAGTCTTACAGGGGTCTAAAGTGAAAACCCAAGAGAGAAAGGGCAGTGGGCAAATAATAATATGGCAGTTTTCTAAGCATTCAAACACATGTCCAAGATCTGACTAGGAAAGGCAGTAAAATGCCCAGCCAAGAAAAAAAACATTCCATTATTATAAATAGGACTTTTGAGAAACAGTTTTTACAACATAGATAGCAGACACATCCTGCTCTCCTTTACTGCAACACCACGTAAAGAGGAAGCACAGAGCTGCTGGGAGTGAGAGCAGGAGGAGGCTCAGGCTTACTGCTGGCACCGACGGCAGCGTTGCATTCCTTGAACTGCTGCTTCATCTGGTTCCT